GATGTGAGCTGCAAGGTTTTTTGTAGACATTCATCAAGTTGAGGACATGCCTTCCCCTCTATTCCTAGTGCACTGAGAATCTTTGTCATGAGTAGGTGTTTGACTTTGTCAAGTTTTTTTTTTTTTTTGCATCTGTTAATAGGATTATGTGATTTTTCTCTTTCAGCTTGTTGACACAGTGGGTTGATTTTCGGATGTTGGACCAGCTTTATGTACCTAGATAAAACCCAGTTGGTCCTGGTGTATAATTCTTTTTATACATTGCTATGTTTCATTTGTTAAGAATTTTCCATCTGTGTCCATGAGAGACGTTGGTCTGTAGCTTCATTTTCCTGTAGTGTCTTGGTTTGGTTTCAGAGTTAATATTTTGCTGGCCTCATAGAATGAGTTACAAAGTATCCCTTCTACTTCCATCTTCTGGAGGAGACTGTAGTGAACTGATACAATTTCTCACTTAAATATTTAGTAGGATTGGCTAGTGAGCCCATCTGAGCCTGCTGCTTTCTGTTCTCAAAGTTACTAATTATTAACTGATGTTCTGAATGGACACAGGCCTGTTGGGCTCTTTCTTTTTATGTGAGTTTCAGCCGATTGTGCATTTCTAGGAGTTGCTCCATTTCATCCAGGTTACGAAGTCTGTGGGTACAGAATTGTTCATAATACCCTCTTATTATCCTTTTAATGCCCATGAAATCTGTAGTTACATCCCATCTTTAATTTCCAATATTAGCATTTTGGGTCTTTTTTTTCTCTTAGCCTGACTAGAGACTTATTAATTTTACTGATCTTTCCGAAGAACCAGCTTTTGGTTTTATTTTTCTCCACTGATTTTCTGTTTTCAGTTTCATTGACTGTTCTTCCTCATCTCCCCTGGGAACCTGGTTGAGCTCCTGGAGGGGAAACAGACATGGTGTGCTCCATGCGACTGGTCCCCAACTCGCCAGCTCTCAGACTCGTCCAAACTGTGCTTCCAGCAGCTCTTGGGTGATGGCCAGGCTCCCGCCCAGCACTGGCTCCTGAGGGACTTTCTTCCCTGTGAGCCGGGCTCCCGGTGCTCACCTGCCTGCTCCTCCAGGCCTGGGGGCGGGGTTTGTCTGTGTCCTCAGCTCTCTAGCGGATCCAGGAGAAGCTGCTGATATCAGCCGGTTCAGCTTTTTACTATTTTGGGGGTACAGTGGCAACCCCCAGGATCCTCTATGTGAGGCTGGACATCGGAGTCAGCGTTATGTGCCTGGTGGTTTCAGAGAGACCAATCCTAGGCTATTGTTACTCCCTGGGGACCCAAAGTACTCTCTGTGCTCTAAAATCCGAGTGGAGACTTTAGAGGAATTAAATTATAAAAGAACATTAGGTCCATTGGTTGCTCAAAACTATCTAAAACTATCTGTGGGAATTTCCTCAGCTTTCTGAATACAGACATACTTTAAACCAAGAAGAATCCCCATATTGGTTTCCTGATCTCTGCAAAGAAACAGGAGTAGGAATTCTGTCATATCCCCCATTAACTTGCATATGTGGTTTGGATTTTAGATGTTGTAATAACAACAGGTCACCAGGGTTATGAATCTTATTTTCAGAGATCCAGATGTGTCCTCTTTAACCCCAGGAAATTCAGCACACCTTCTACCTGACAGACAGCAATTAGACTAGAGAAGGGTTTCATGTTCACCCCAGGAAGCAGAGAACTTCAGAAGTAGCTTGCTGTCCTGTGGCCGGGACACCAGTGCACCTTCCCTGTCTTACTTCTGGGATATCAACCTCTCCAGCTCTCCCGATTCCACAAGACAGCACTTTGATGATCTTGTGCTGACTGTAACTATGGGCGAGAATCGCAGGTGTGCCAGGTGTCTGGATTAGTCACATTCGTCTCAAAGGATGGGAGACAGAAGTCATGAAAATTCAGAGACCCTCAACCTCAGTGAAGTTTCTGAGGGTCCAAAAGTCTGGGCCTCTTGGGGAAATCCTCTCCACACAAAGACACATTCTGCACCTGCCCCCCTCTCGGTGACTAACGGGGAAGCACAAGTGTTCTGAGCCGCTTCGTCTTTGGAGGCAACACAGGGGACAAGTATGTGCTGTTCTGCGTGGAGTGTCTGTGAAGGTCTCAGATACGAGTGGACCCAGAACAGGGAGACCCTGCAGCTGCTCCCAACTGCAGCCCCAGGGGCCTCCTCAGAACGTCCTCAGCAGGTGCAAATGCTGGGAACGCTTTGGTGGGCTCCAGCACTGGCCCCACTGCTGCGGGGCAGAGCTGTGTTGTTGTCACACAGGAACTAACCTCTTTTGGAAAGACTGCTCTGGGTTACTTTTAGAGACGTGGATCCTGACCATGGAACAGCAAGTGATCATTGGGCCTAATATGGCTGCCATCTCAGGCGCCAAGCAGGGCAGGTGCAAGAACCCCACCATCAAATAGAAGAGGCCAGCCTGCCCAGGCTGGGAGTAAGCTGTGAATTGTCTGAACAGGGGTCCACATTCCCAGAACATCTGCTCTTCTGTGCTGTCATTCTTCCTCAGATCATGCCTATGGTCTCCAGACAGGGCTTAGGACCAGCTAAGTGAGGAGGAAAACAATGCAACATTGGTTCAGAGATGGTCCCTTATGCTGGGCCCAGCAGGACACGACCTCCTGAATCATAATTCCATAGCAGGGGAGCCCTTGACAGCAGAGAGAAGTCCCCTAGCCCTTGACAGCAGAGAGAAGTTCCAGACTTCCAGCCAGGAACCTATCTGATTTTCCACTTTGTGTCAAATGAAAGATGGCAAGGTACATGCCCTTGGAACTACATCTGATCACAGGTAGTAACCAACCATTGGCCTGAATAAGGAAATTGGAAGAAAAATTGGAGGACTGGCAACAAGAAGGTCTGTGGAGAAGGCAGGGGATGGATGAAGAATGGACAGAGAGCACGAGACTGTCTTCTTCACGTGTGAATACAAACCCAAGGGCACACACCACAGAAAGGCTCTCGATAATTGGGGGACATGAGAACCTTATGGAAGTGACCACGGCATCAGAATCAGGGGTTACTGACAGGCTTCCCACCACCGAGGCTTCCTGACCACCGTTTCTGCTGGGATCAATGCCAAGACTCTGTCATAATAACACCATAGTCTGGGAAGATCAGCCACTCCCCCCGGAACAGGCTGGGGATTAATTCCTTTTACTAGGGATCAACTGTCCACACTGTAAGAGGCAGCTGAGGGATAGCTTCACTCTCTCTGCCCACATTCCTCTGCCCAGCCTCTGTCAGTGGACTTGTCGTCAAAGCATTCTGTCCTGTGCTGGCAGTAAGCACAGCGGTAGCCCCAGAGGCAGCCCACAGAGCTTGCCTGTCTCACCACGTGTCCCCTCAGCCCAGATGCATTTCCGTGGTGACACCCACCGAGTAAATTAATAACACCGTCATTGTAGCAAGCAAAAAGTTTGATGAGGTCTTTGAAAAGAAGCATAAATGCAGCATTTATGACGCCATTTGTTAGTTCGTTTGGGTGCACCTAGAAAAGATGGAAATTAATGTTAGCTGCACAGCTCCCGGTCAAAACTTTTCTTCAATCACATTAAAATGTCTCAAATGATCATCAAGAAATTCACTCAGATCCCACAGATGCTGGGCAGTGCCTTTAGCCACTGTGCCGATATGGAAGGATGGGCCGCATGCATTTTGGATCATTTTGCTTGACTGATAAAATCAGTCCTATCAATTAAGAGGCATACATATAATATTCTTTTTGACCAGCGATCTACAGACCAACACACCCAGCTTCTGAACACCTGCTCTTTTTGTTGCTTTCTGTGTTATATAACTCTCCTCCAATCTCCCTATCTGTGGTGAAAGAATTCAGGCTCCAGGGGCCTGCAATGATTCAGAGAGGAAGGGTGGCATGGGGAATGTTTCAGCTGCCTTGAAATAAATAATCTTTGAGACTCTTGGCCACTCACCCCCGGTTAAACCCTCTGCCACCAACACCTCAGCTCTTACTGACAGCGCCACAGGCTCTGATCTTTCTCCCTGTGTGACTGTTCTCTTTGAGACAGAACCCTTACCAAGGGCAAGAAAAGCAAAGAAAAATAAAGTAAAAAAAAAGTTAAGAGAACAAATTCCACAAGCATTTGGTGAAGTCCTCATTGTAAAATCGGTCAAAAAATAATTAGATGATTTCTTGGTTTTACTAACATTTCACAGGAGTGAGATTTAGGGACTTGGACTCAATTATAGACTAAAATATGTAATCTTAACAGAGACTTTAAGTTATAATATTTGAGGAAAATCTTTGTTTTAGGTAACCACCAAAATAGAGGAAAGGTAACAAAAGGAGTTAAGCATCTTCCTACTATCAAAATATTTTATTTTCATGAATCAAATTTTTAAATTAAACTTATTTTGAGATAACAGTAACTGTCTATACAGTTACAAGAAGGAACACAGAATAAATATACCATTTACCCTGTTCCTCCCAATGGCAGTGTTTGTCAATGAGAAACGACAGTGGAATGTCACAACCAGGACGATGACAATGACACAATCCACTGACCTTACTCAGACCCAGGGTTTACTTGAGCTCATCTGTGTGTGTTCAGTTCTACACAGCCTGTGTATTGGTGCATCCATCACCACAGTCAAGACACAGGTGTGGTTTTAAGAGACAAATCAAGCTGGTATTTGGACCAGTGTCATCTCTGATGGATGCTAATAACCCTCTGGTGGGCAGCATCATATAAACCGTAAAATGGTTTCTAGCAGCAGGTCACCTATGTAGCTGCCTGAAGGGACGTCCTGTGCACACTTCACCCTGCCGAGCACCACGGGAGGCCACCATTCTGCCCAGAACTTGACATTTCAGGCCAGACTTGAGTAAACACCTGGGAAAACTGTTTGGAAAATCTGAGGATACTAAATGATCTCTCCTGAGCTTAACAGCCTGAACTAAGTATCCACCAAATACAGGCGATCTGAAACTATTCTGGGAAATCTTCAGATAGCCCTGTGCCCGCTTTGAATGACAGCTGCGTGTGCAGGACGCCTTTTCTGGTGAGATACGTACGTCAAACTCCAGCAGGGCGTCGATCTGCCCCTGCAGGATCGGCATGCTCTTTAGCAGCTTCTCCGGAGCCATCGTCCTCATCACACCATCAGCCCTACGATTTTGCAAAAGAAACGGATAAACTTTCCTTGTACATGAGAACTTCAGGACCACGTGCACTGTGCTAAGCTGCCCCTCACTCCTGTCCAGTGGCTCCCAGAGGATCTCAGTGAGGGTCTCAGAGGCCACCTCCTCTGCCAGCACTGCTCCCCCCAACCACGGGCACGGCCCGCTTTCTGTCTGCACTGTCCTCTGGAAGAAAGGAAGTGTGGTGTGTATAAAAGAGGTCAGCTGAATTTCTGAATAAATTTTTCTAAATCCATAACAGATGTAATAATGTTAAAAATATAAGTTTTCATTAAAGCCAGTTTTTTTTCTTTTTTTGAGAAAGAGAAAACATGTCTTGGAAGTCTACAGAACCTATGGGACTGGAGGACACTCTGAGTTATCACCATCGAGTGAAGAACATGCCAGTCAATGAGCATGGTTTGCCAAACAGGGATAAGAGTTTACCTGGCTGCAGAGGACAGGAGTGAAATTCATGCTGAGGGTGTGTCAGCAGGGCACAGGTGCCCACCCACCGCCGCTGAGAGAGCCCTGCATCCAGCAATGGCCAATGGCTGGTGGTGCCACAACAGCTGGGGAATCCCAGACCATGTGGACAGGCTGATAACGGCCACTTTCAGGCTCTCTCTCACCGCAGTGGTGAGGAAAGCACTGAGAATGTCCTTACATGTCCATGGAGGGGAGGAGAGGTCACCGTGGAGCTGAGAACAGCAGCAATGGCCGCGGGGCCTCGTAAGAAGCCAGAGGCAGTCACATCAACTAGTCAGCTCTAGTTGACTAGAGGGAAAGACCTGATTTTACAAAGTATCACTCACAAGGAAATAATTTATTCTGAATGGACAAGTTGATATTTTTCACCACCATGGTAAAAAAGTAGCTCAAAGCTACAGTGAGACTGGCTGCTAATGAGAGAGAGTAATACCTACTACAGAGACAGAGTAATACTCTTCATGTGGGTTCTAGACACTAAAACAGGAAAACTTCTATGATACCTGGCCTTAGTTTCAAGCTGGGGACAGGTGTAAGACCTGCATAAACTTCTAGCTGAACACTTCTGATAGGATTCAAAGATCTATTTAGAGAGAAATCAATCATAATAATTATGGATTAAAATTTAGGTGTTTCTGTTTCAATGAGATTTTCTCAAACATTTGGTAGTATCAATAATTAGTCTGAATATGAAGGGGGTGTGTATGTTGCCTAGGACAGTATCACCTCTCAAAAACAGAGCTCTATCACACACACAATCACAGTTTCACCTCAATCAAAATACATTTAAATAGCTATGGTTATCTATATCCTCTACTCTTTTTAAATGACATTTAATTCTCTTTTTATAAAGTATTTAAAGGTATTATGTATTTAAGAATTTTGAATTAATTTTAACAAATAAAATGTGAGGGCATGTAAACTCTGAGTATCACATCAGGTTGGTTTTCTTTTCTTTTTTATTTTTAAGACAAAGTCTCCCTCTGTCACCTGGGCTAGAGTATCCTGGCCTTGACCTAGATCACAGCAACCTCAAACTCCTGGGCTCAAGCAATCCTCCTGCCTTACTCTCCTGAGTTGCTGGGACTACAGGAGCCCACTACAATGCCCCACTAATTTTTTCCATTTTTAATAGAGATGGGGGGTCTTGCTCTTGCTCAGACTAGTCTTGAATCCTGAGCTCAAGGGATCCTCCTGTCTCAGGCTCCCAGAAGAAGTCACGGGCATAAGTCACCATGCCCAGCCAGCAAATTATATTTTTCTGCATGAAAATATAAATAAAATAATTAATATTGCAACCTCAAGACTAATGTCTGTATTATTTACTGAGTTTCTTTTTTCAGGTGATTGCAAACTAGGCCTTCAAGGTTAGAATTAGTTGGCATTTAAGCTTAATTAAAATAAATCAAGTATACTTCAAGGACTTATTTTCCTCAAATAAATATAAGAAAGAAAAAACATACCCTTTCTTCACTCTGGCAAAATCAAATGCCATCTGTCGGTAAGAGAAAGCCTTTTCATTCAAGTATCTACTATAGCGCCTTATGAAGGTAGACATATCATAACCTGGGGGCAGGGAGAAAAAAATAAAGCTAATAAAATATCTTCAGCTGTGCTTTGTATAGTATGAATTTTTTTTAACTCCCCAAAGATAGATGGTTGCAGGATGAGGCCAGTAAATGAGACAAGCCTCAGTTAGATCTTCTAGGCAAAAATACTTTGGGCACAAGGCATTGCAAAACTATTCAATTAGTTATTCTACCACATAGCCACACTACCGCCCTTATACAGAATATCTTTTCTGATTTTCCTTGCATTTTTGTTTATTGTTTCAGACATAGTCTGCTTCCGACTTAATTCCTGTCGCCATCTGATAACAGCCGCTTGCTGGACACATCTGGCTTCCACATGACAGGCCTCCAGTAATTATGGTGCATGAGCACATGAGTGTCCAAACCTTATTAATCTATAAAGAAAATGCTTTAACACTGGAATGATTTTTCAAACTTGGAAGGCATCTTTCATTTCATTGTCTCTTGAACCTTCAAAAGTATACAAGTGTGGGTCCAGCACACCCATTGTTACTTTTTAAGGTAAATACTGAGAATGCCAAAAAGGTAATTAGTGTGTATTTTGTATGCTTTCTATAATTGAAAACTCTAAAGCCATATGTAAAAAGTTATTTTTCATTTTTCTTAAATACCCAATGAAGCCATCAGTTGTAATGAACTTGGATTAACAACCTTACTTGAAAATTAAAATATTAGCAAAACATTATAAAATATGAGTATTCTCACCATGGGATCCACTTTTGTCCAAAAAATTGCTGAGATTGAATAGCGTATTTCTAGAGGCCAGATACTGAATAAATCTCTGAAAAACAAAAATTAAACACCTATATTCTCAAATATATCTTTAAACAATTTCTGACAGCAAAGGGCATTTTTTTCTTTTAATTTTCATTATGATCTCTTTTAGTCAGTTATAAAGCTTCCTAATCTGCTGACTTTCTCTGATGGAGGAAAAAAGCTTTTACTACTACTCAATGAACTAAATTATGTGATCTTTCATTTCTGAATATAATAGAAACGCTGCAGTTTAATAGGATCCAGCAGGTAACCCAAATAGAATGTCTAATTTTATCAATATTTTCCAAAATAAACATTTTATGAAAATAATTTTCACTTACAGGCACAAAGGAATTTTTCCCACGAGATGTAGTTTCACTGTTCCCTTCTCCTATCTTTGCCACTAATAGGTTTATGATAGACATGTGCTATGAGCCAGAAGCTTCTAATACAGGCACACTTTGTTTTATTGAACTTTGTAGATTATACTTTACAATTTGCAGGTCTGTGGCAACTCTGCATTAGGCCAGTCTACCAGTGTCCCTTCGGCGTGTGCTCACCCTGTGTCTCTGTGCCACATTTTGATGATTCTTACAATATTTCAAACCTTTTCATTATTGTTCTATCTTGTGTGGTAGGCTGTGATCTGTGGCGTTGGATGTTACGGGTACCATTGCAATCCTTTTGGGGGCCCACAAACTGCACCCACATAAGATGATGCACTTAATCTATAAAAGCTGCTCCTCTGCCTCTCTGTCTCCTCAGGCCTCCCCATTCCCTGAGATATAATAACACTGAAATTAGGCCAATCAGTAACCTGCAATGACCTCTAAGTGTTCAAGTGAAAGGAGAAGTCACTTGTCTCTCACTTTAGATCAAAAGCTAGAAATGGTTATGCTCAGTGAGGAAGGCACGTTAAAAGCTGGGACAGACCAGTCAGCCAAGCTACAAAGGCCAAGGGGCAGCTCTCTAAGGAAACTGAAAGTGTTGCTGCTGGTGTGGAGCAGGCTTGATCAGTCTGGATAGAAGGTTAAACCAGGTCAACGTTCTGTAAGCCGAAGCCCCATCCAGAGCAAGGCCCTGACTGCCTTCAATTCTATAAGGGCTGAGAGAGGAGAGGGAGCTGCAGGGAGAAGTCTGATGCTGCAGAGGCTGCTTCCTGAGGCTTAAGGAAAGAACCGTCTAATACAGATACAAGTGTAAAGTGAGGCAGCAGGTGCTCAGACAGAAGCTGCAGCAGGTTATCCAGAAGATCCAGCTAATAATGATGACAGTGGCTATCAAACCAAAGATCTCCAGTGAAGATGAACTGGCCTTCTACTGCAAGAAGATGGCATTTAAGGCTTTCCTATATGGAGGTGGGAAGTGGTACCTGGCTTCAAGGCTTCACAGTTTCACGGCTTCAAAGCTTCAAAGGACAGGTGACTCCCTTTCCTAATCCAGCTGGTGACTTGAAGTTGAAGCCAATGCTCATTTATCCTTCTGAAAATTCCAGGGCCTTTAAGAGGTACGTTAAATCTACCCGCCCTGCCTGTGCTCTGTGAATGGAATAACAAAGCCTGGATGACAGCACATCTGTTTACAGCATGGTTTATCGAATATTTTAAGCCCACTGTTGAGACCTACTGCTTAGAAGAAAAGGTTCCTTTCAAAACACCACTGCTCACTGACAGCACATGTAGTCACCCGAGGGCCCTGATGAGACGTGTGGGGAGGCTGGTGTTGGTTTCACACCTGCTGACACAACTCTACTCCACAGCCCATGGATCAAGGAGTCATTTGGAACTTCAAGACTTAGTATGGAAGAAATGTATTTTGTAAGGCTCCAGCTGCCACAGATAGTGATTCCTCTCATGAATCTGTGCAGAGTAAACTGAAAACTTTCTGAAAAGGACCCACCATTCTAGGTGTCACTAAGAACATTCATGTCTCATCTGCGGAGGCCAAAATAGAACATTAACATTGGCAGAAGCTGCTTCCAGTCCTCATGGGTGAGCCTAAGAGGTTTGAGATTTCAGTTGGAATTGCAATTGCAGATGTGGTGGAAACAGCAAGAGAGGCAGCGTTCTGAGAGGAGCCTGACCATGTGGCTGCCTGGACGCAGCCCCAGGAACACTTGATCAGAAGAGGAGCTGCTGCTTAGGGATGAGCAGAGAGGGTGGTTTCTCAGGATGGAATCTAGCCTGGTGAAGAGGCTGTGAACATTGTTGAAGTGACAACAAAGGATTTAAAATATCACATGAGCCTAGTAGATAAAGCGGCATCAGGGTTTGAGAGGATGGACTCCAAGTCTGGAAGAAGTTTTACTGTCAGTAAAAGGCTACCAAACAGCACACACGCTACAAAGAAATCTTCTCTGAAAGGAAGAGTCAGTTGGTAGGGCAGACATTTTTGTTGTCTTATTTAAGAGACTGCCAATCATCCCCCATCCCCCCGGTCAGTCTGCAGCCGGCAACACTGCCTCAAGACTCAGAACTAGCAAAAGAAACCACAGCCCACAGAGGGCTCAGATGGGCCCTGATGGTCACATGTTAGCAACAAAGTAATTTAAAATAAGATACATGTATTATTTTTTTAGACAATACTATCACACCCTTAACTGGCTACAGGATGATACGAACATAACTTTTATATGTACTGGAGAAACCAAAAATCGTGTGACTTGCTTCACTACAAGGCCCATTTCACTGCAGTGGTCTGGAGCCAACTGAGGGCACCTCCATGGCAGTATCCAGCTTAAAATGTATTTCTTGATAAATAGCTAAATAAACGATTAGAACTGCACTCTGGATTGTTTGAAACTATACATTTCCTCTTATTTTTCCCCTAAGTAGTGAAAATTTGGAGGGCTTTAACTCATCATCATGTGACGCTCAGCTCACCTCATTTCCGTGCACCATGAGATGGTGTGTGGTCACTAAAGCTTTAAACACAACCACCCAGCTGCTGTTCGTCGCCCGCTCGAAGAGAGTGTCGGCCATCTGGGGAATGTTGACATTGGTCTCGTTGGTGGCCTGGATCAAGTCTATGGAGACAGAAGACAACAGGCAGTGGTGTTAAAAATCACATACAAAAACTCATTTCAAACTTAAAAACACTTAAACCCATTTACCAAAACAAAATTATTTCAGTAACAACTGATAATGAAATCTTTTTTATTTTTAGATAATGAAATCTTTAAAGATTGAACTGCAGTGTTCTAACCTGTACACATAAGTACATTATTCACTCAATGTATTTACTTATTCTTGAGTGTATTTTTCTATTGAATTTTATTCTGTTCCCTTTTCTGAATTTATCTGTTTGCTGTTACCAACACTATTTTTGAAATTACAAACTCCAGGAAAACCAAGTCTCGTTTTTGGTCTCCACATAATGTCTCAAACAAGAACAATTACTTTATACCGTCTTGAATGCATTAACACAAACGGATCTTTTGAAACATGATAGTGAAGAGCAGACTTCACTTGGATTTTAATTCTGAAGGGTACTAAACATAGCTGTCATATGTGTGACAGAAAGAGAACAAATAGTAAAAGAGGAAAGAATTCGGTGGCACCTGTGGCTCAGTGAGTAGGGTGCGGGCCCCATATACCGAGGGTAGTGGGTTTGAACCCAGCCCCGGCCAAACTGCAACAATAAAATTTAAAAAAAAAAAAGAGGAAAGAATTCCACCCTGTCCATTTAAGCTTTCCCAGAACCTCAAGCATGTATTAAATTACAATATTTTCTATTTTGAAATGGGGTCTCCCTCTGTTGCCTGGGCTGGGGGGCAGTGCTATCATCATAGCTCCCTCTTGAGTGTAAGCAATCCACCTGCCACAGTCTCCTGAGTAGCTAGGACTACAGGAGCACATCACCATGTCTGGCTAATTCGCCTATTTCTTTGTATAGATGGGGTCTTGCTATGTTGCTCAGGCTGGTCTCAAGTAATCTTTTTGCCTTAGCCTCCCAGAGTGCTGGATCACAGGGATGAGCCACTGTCTCTGGCCAAATTACTATAATTTGACTGGTGTTTGTAAGAGAGTAAGGGTTTCTAGTGCACTCATTGTCGATAACTACATATTATTCATGTGATCCCAGGTATATTTCAGGAAAAAACTATACCTAGTGGCCAAAAGGAGGTGCCCAGCATTAAAAAAAAAAAGCAGTGTTGTCAAAGTTAGATGGGGCCACCAAAGCACATGGGCTAAGGAACAAAAGCAAAGCCACAGCTGGATTGTGACTGGGTGAACGTAAGGATGTCCACAAGCACAGGTGACAACAGACACTGCGTGACTTCAGCATGTCCACCTTGCAGAGAACTATGCATGTGCCCAGTTCCTGGGAAACCAATGTAACAAACATACTCCTTTCTCCTTACTCAAAATTGACTACTAAGTAATCATTTAGCTATATATGTATTTTCTGCATTTCTCTATTTCACAATAAATAAGGTCTTTAAAAGTAGGTACCCCATCATTGAAACAGCTCTTAACTCCTTAAAGGGCATCAACAACTGTTCTGAACTATAAATGGTCCAAACCAGGCTTGTTTCTTACTTTCTACTGATTTTAAATGTTAGTGGTCATCCTCATCACCTCAACACCCCTCCCCAGTGTTTTTCCTTATTGTAATTCTATGTAACCTTCAGGAGATCTTTCCTGGTCCCTTTCGTGTCCAGCCCCACGTGACCTCCCTCTGCTGTTGACCCTCCCTTCCCACTGGGTGTTCAGATGAGATGTGTATTTGCCCTAAGTTCTGGCTATATCATGGCTGAAGATGGTGACAGCGTTTCCTGTGCGATGCTTTGCCAAGCACTATGTGTACTAAGCATTTATTGAGCAGAATGTCCACACGGCATACTTCAGCCAAAATACCCAAGTGAATCTGCATTTGGAGGATGTGAAAACTCAGTGAACCAGTGCAGGGATTTTCCAAATGACTCGTATATAATGTCACAAAATCATGCATGGGTAAAAGACCCGTCCAAAGTACACAAGACAGACCAAGGCGTTTTCCTGCAACAGGACGTAGGAAGTTCACTGATGGAGTCTCAGGTCTAACACTGCAAATTAAAGAAACCAGCACCCAAGGAGCTGTCCAAGTACCAAAGCAGAGGATCCAGGATTTTCTGAAAAGGAAGGCTGTTAAAAAAGTTCTTGGTTTTCCAACTGTATTACCTTTGTGAGGTGAGATTTTCTTTTTTTCTTTTTCTTTTTTTGAGACAGAGTCTCACTATTTTGCCCTGGGTGGAGTGCCATGGCATCACAGCTCACAACAACCTCAAAGTCTTGGGCTTAAGAGATTCTGTTGCCTTAGCCTCCCAAGTAGCTGGGACTATAGGCAAGGTGCCTGCCACAATACCTAGCTATTTTTTGTTGCAGTTGTCATTGTTGTTTAGCTGGCCCGGGCTGGGTTCAAACCTGCCACCCTCAGTGTATATGGCTGGCACTGTAACCACTGCGCTATGGGGCCAAGCCAGTGAGGTGAGATTTGCTAACTGAACATTATAGCTCGGCCCCACCTGCCTTAAATGTGTCTGGGACACACTGGCCTATAGTTGGGGAAAATCGTCTCACAGGAAGCCTACTTTGTAATGAAGTGTTGGGTGTCCCACGTAATTTATTGAATACTGCACTGAAAGTGAAACACAGAGTGGTCTGGCACTCTTCTAAAGCTGAAAAATCATTAAGTTGAACATCTAAAGTCCGGACCATCTGGGCATCTTGACAGAGGGTCGCTAGGCTGTGGGGTATGCACAGTTCACTTCAAATTGGTTTTTATACAGAAGCAAGTTAAGTTCTGACCAGTAGTTACTACTGCTGTACTTCCTTGCCAAGTAAATGGTTTTAATTTAAACAATTCCCCCAAAGTTGAATAAAAACAAAGTATAATTATAAACATGCGGGAAAAAATTCTTGACAGTTACGAGAATCTAAATGCTCTGAATGTGTCAGATTTGAATTCCTTAGAATTCAAAGTTTTGGTTGAACTTGGGAAGACATACCTGGTATCTTTTTTGGCAGTTTGAAAAACAGCTTTATTGCAGCATAATCTATATAAAAATTGTACACAGTTAAAGTGCACTACTTGGTAAGCTTTGACAAACATACGCACTCACAAAACTATTAGCAAAGTTAAAATAACAAACAGGTTCTTCATACCATCTTAGAATTCCTCTTATTTCTCCCCATTTCCTCTCTCACTGTCTACTGGAAACTCCCCAATCTGCTTTAGTCAATATATATTATATTGCATTTTCTAAATTTTATATAAAGAGAAGCAATTTTGGGGGAGGGACGGGAAGTCTGGATTCCTTGGGTCAGCACAGCGGTTCTGAGAGTCATTCCAGTTGTTGTGTGTTACTAACAGCCCATTCCTTTTCATCACGGATGTGCGTTCAGTTGAAGGGACACACCACGACTGTTTATTCAGTCACTGGTGATGGACACTGGGGTGACTCCAGTTTCGGGCTATTACAAATAAAGCTGCTGGGAGCATTTCCATTCAATTGTGGGGGCATATGTTTTCATTTCCCTTGGGCAACTGAATCATTTTAAAGTAAATTTTAAAGGAACATCCTCCAAAAAGGTTTTCTATGTCACAGTCTCCCAACCCCCGATGGTGTGTGGGTATTACAGGAGCTCCCCATTCTCCCAGAGACTCCAGTGTGTCTTCTGAGTGTCTGTGCCATTCCAGCACATACCCGGTGGTTGGAGTGTTACAGGAGCTCCCCGTCCTCGCAGAGATTCGAGTGCGTCTTCTGAGAGTCTGTGCCATTCCAGCACATACCCAGTGGTTTGAGTGTTACAGGAGCTCCCCGTCCTCGCAGAGATTCGAGTGCATCTTCTGAGTGTCTGTGCCATTCCAGCACATACCTGGTGGTTTGAGTGTTACAGGAGCTCCCTGTCCTTGCAGAGATTTGAGTGCGTCTTCTGAGTGTCTGTTCCATTCCAGCACATACCCGGTGGTTTGTCTTTGCAGTTCCCTAATGACCACACTGATGCTGAGTGTTCCCTCTGTGTAATTTTGTTTGTTTATTTGACATTTGTGTGTATTTTTGGCCCATTTTTATTGGATTATTTCTGTTCTTATCACTGACTTAGGCTGGATTGAGTCCTCTATCATATGTGTGATTTGAAAATATTTTCTTCAAGTCTATGACTTCCATTTAATTCTCTTAACAATGTCTTTCAAATAATAGAAATTCTTTATTTTTCCATTACAAATTAATATGAGGGTGCAAAGTTTTAGTTTACATAGCTCACTTCTAAGGTAAAGTTCCAGTTGTAAAAGAGCCCCTCACCCAGGGGGAGTGTTACACACCCTCACATGTGCACACGGGGTGGGATCCTGCCTCATGCCCTCCCTCCATCTGCCAGTTGTCCTCTCCCCTGCCGCCTCCTCTGCCCCGTACTAGACTATATTTTTGTTTTATTATTCATAGGAGCATGTATTTGTTTTTATGTTGCTTTCATATTAACATGGAGTACACTGGATTTTTATTTCTCCATTCTTGTGATATTTCACTAAGAAAGATGTATTTCAACTCCATCCAGGCAAATGCAGAAGCTATAAAGTCTCCATCTTTTTAATGGCTGAATAGTATTCCATGATATACACATACCACAGTGCTGGTCCATTCAAGGGACGATGGGAATTTAGGGTGCTTCCACAACTTGGCAATTTTGAATTGAGCTGAGGTAAACGTTCTGGTGTAAATGTCTTTGTGGCAAAATGATTTTTTCTTCTTTTGTTCTTCTTTAGTTCCCACTAATGAAATTGTGGGATCAAATGGAAGGTAGACTTAGTTCTTTGAGGATTCTCCGTGTTTCTTTCCATAAAGGTTGTATCAGTTTGCAGTCCCACCAGCAGTGTAGAGGTGTTCCCGTCTCTCCACATCCATGCCAGCATCTGCAGTTTGGGACTTTGTGATGTGGGCTAACCTTGCTGGGTTTAGGTGATTTCTCAGAGTGGTTTTGATGTGTACTTCTCTGATGATTAAAGGTGGTGAGCATTTTTTCATGTGTGTGTTGGACATTC